CCCCAAAACCCCAAAACCCCAAAACCCCAAAACCCCTATTTATAAAAAATGATTGGCCTGGATTCTATGTGTAATATTTTAAGGTGTTTATTCAAAATCAGATTTATCTTTCTTTTTCCTAACCTTACTCTGTCCTTTGCCTAGCTCAACTATATATAAGAAGGATAGAATCTGATAATTAATTGTTAAGGACTCACAATCAATTTCCATCTTGTTAATATCTGAGGCGTCATCCTCAAAAAGATGACGCATGTTCTTGTCATTCAAATTTGCTGTATTTTGCCTTGAAGAGATCGGGGAAGACGTATTAATCCTATTGTTTGACACATCTGCTCATTTTTCCTCTAAATCATAATGCTGAAATAGTACCTTCCTGATTGGAAGCTTCGGAAAATTGCTTCTCATTTTGATTTATAAGGTTAATTTCGTCTCCTTCAGAATCCGAAAACCTTTTCTTAACAATTCCTAAATATGAACTGATATTGATACCGCTGATAATTCTGCTGTCTATTTCATTCATATCTTGGTTTGTGAAGCTGTTTATTACCTTATTGATCTTTTTATTTACAATTTCAGCATGCTTTTCGTTATTTACTTTCCATCAAATCTACAATATTCACTCTTCCTTCATCAGATGTCCCAGAAGACGAGCTATCAATGACATTATTTCTTTGGAATTTCATTAGGAATTTCTGTTTCTTGGTCAGTAATACTGCTGTGAGAAGCTTTAATTGTCTAACTGCTTTAATTATTGTCACTCAATCTAGTTCCTCTAGTAACTTCTCTTCTCCAATATTATAGTAAAGTTGGTCACGGAAATATGGCATTAATCTCATGTTTCTCTTCCTTCTTCAGACAAGCCGTCATCAGCATAAGTAATGGAAGATATGAAAATATCCATATTTGAATACTCTCCGCTCTCTCATGCTATTTTTCTCAGCGTTCAAGAATTTCGCCCTTAATGTCTTCATAGTCGCTATCTTTGATATCTGCATCGTCCTTCTTCTGAACTTCAGAGTCTTTATCTTCAGTGTCTTTCAAACTTTTCTTGATGGTGCATATTTCTTCTTTATTTGCATTCTTTATGACCTTAAAAGTATTTGCATGGAACTTCTCACTCTTTGTATATGGAACTTTTATTCCTCTCCCATCTTCTCTAAAGATTAGTTTTCGATTTTTGAAGTTCTTCAGGTGCTCTTTTCTTTTTGACTTATCAAGTTTCTCTCTTTCCTGCCAAGTATCAATTTGGTAGATTTTCCTGAGCACTGATCCAACGAACAACCTTTCAGAAAAAATGGTGAGGAAGATAGTGCCAATGCCCATGATAGATTCCTTGAATCCTCCAACTTGGCCCATGAGCTCACCGATTGAGAATATTTGTCTTTCGTAAATATCAGAAATTTTGTCGTATCTGAAAACTATTGAGAGAAGTACACCACTCTCTGGCTCAAGTTCTAGTCGGTCTTTTGAGTCAACAACTTGGAAAAACTCTTCTTCATCTTCTTCAAAGCCTAGCTGGATATAATCATCAACAAAAGAAGCTTCATTATTTTCTGATGAAAATATCAGTCTTCTTTCTAATTCCTGGAAGGATATCCCAGAAGAATCCTTCGTCGAGTGTGTATTGAATTGGGTTTTTGTAGTCTTTAAGGTTCATAACTGTGTTCACAAGTACCATGTTAAATCTTGCATTCTGTAAAACTTTGTCCAGCTGGTCGTCATTCATGCACCCAGTGCCCTTACATCTCTTCACTCTGATGTCAATGAAATGAAAATCCTTAGAGAAAAAGCTTCCTGTGATAGTATAGTTTTTAATTTTTGGTCAGTAATATTGGTCAATCTCGAGTCGCTTAATTTCATCTTTGTGTTCATAATTAAGGTTTTCAAGACCTCACTTGGTCAGCTCAATATCAGTATTCTTTCGCTCTATTTTCTGAACCCCATCGACTGTCTTTCTTTCTTGTTCAACTAATTGGACTGTGAATTCAAGGGCCGAGGTTTGGTTGACAAAATCTAAGTCATCACTGGTAAGCTTGAATGCAAAGTCAAAATGGGAATTCCTTCCGTTCCCAAGCCCAGGTTGAAGAACCTCAGTGTCTTTGTAAAGGTCTTTAATCAGAGTTGTCTTAACAAAATTTGTATTTTCTTTGAAGATCAGGACATGAAGAAGGTACAAGAAATAAGCAATCACGATTAACTGCACAATGAGAGATGCAAACCCTCCAATGTGAGTTCTGTACATATCATCTCCTTTGTACGTTAAAACGATGCTTTTCCCAAAAATGTCAAACGTTCGCATGGAATTGAAGATTTTCTGGGCGAAAGTCTTCTTCTTTTTGAATATTTTCTTATATCTCTTGTTGGCCATTTTGAGGAAAATATTGAATTCAATAGTTTAAGAACTAGTGGGGTTTTGGGGTTTTGGGGTTTTGGGGTTTTGGGG